TAACGAAGGCTGTCCAAGTTCGTGGACTCCTCCGAATGCAGCTGACAAATGCGTGCTCCTTTTACCTGAATTTGAAGGATGGGTGTGTCCTTCATGGCCCACCATATCCCAGAATTCATAGCGCGGCCCAGCCATCTCCAGTTTCCAACAATGGCGGCCGCTACTAAGTTGTAATTGATTCCGTGAAGGACTCGATGTTACTCTTCCTGATGATGCTTTAGATGGAGAGACTTTTGAGGGATGGTTGTTATGAGGAAAGCCCAGCAGCACACATCATTGTGTGCCTCCAGTCTTTTACCCAGGCTAATCTGCCATTTTCCCTCCTTGGCGAGGTTTAGGGATTAGAGATCTGATCTGGATTATCATTTTAAAATTTGGGACACATCGTCAGCAGTGGACCTTGGATTCATCAGGTGTTTCGGCCATGATCACTAGAATCCCTCATCCAAGGAGGCCTGACTGCCATAGCTGCCCAAGTGATGTCAGCCCTTTTTAGCCACAGCCAGTGACTGGTCCTCTCAGCAGTGTTAGCTAGCTCTCTTATAGCAGCCGTTGCGCCTGTCCTCTGATCCCAATCTCTCTGAGCAGCTTTGCTGTTGTGCTGCCAACAAAGCCCCTGCATCCCACCTCCACCGGGCGCAGCTTGATCTTCCAGCCTCTGTCCTCTGCCTCAGCTGCCAAGTTGGCATACCACAGCTTCTTACGCTCAAACGCTTCCTCAATTGCTTTCTCCCATGCTACCGTCAGCTCAATGACGTACGCAAGTTTTCGGGAGTTAGACCAAAGGACGAGGTCTGTTCGCAGAGTAGTTGTTACGATCTCTGTGGGAAAAATTAGCCAATTATCCAAGTCCACTGGCATCTACCTGAAAACTGACGCTCCTCTTGGTTTGTGAAAGGTTGAGCGATTTCCTTTTGCGCTCTCAGCTGGACACCCGAGGACCTGGTTGTGTCTCCATGTGTGTCTGCCCTGAGTAAGGCTTACTCGTATTACTTTTTCTGGGTCACAAAATAAACTTTTAACATATTTCCAGGCGAGAATGTAGCTGTGTAAACATCAAATATCTGCTCGGTTTATCAAGACGTCCGACGTTTTCGGAGACGTCTGTTACCCACCAGCTCGATAGCTCGCCGGGAGGTCGCGGGTCACTGAAGCCAAGAACGGCACAACTCCCGGCACATCTCAGGTTAAACGTGATATATAAGTCACTTAGACAACCTAAAATGTTATTGTTGGGCTTTTTGTTTTATTTGTTTGTGAGTAAATCGGTTTGGCTGAGATTAAAGTTATTAGATTAGATTAAACTTTATTAATCCATCGGGTGGTTTTCACACAGCTGAATAAACGTCAAACAGAAAACTGATTAAACAGATGGTCGAGTTTACTCCAGTGTCCTGTTATATGTTAGACAGCGAGGAGCAGACGGACGACTCCACCGAGACAGCGGTGACGCAGATCTGAAGGCGAGACCGTCCAGTTTCAGAGCCGTTTACTTCCGGCCTTCTCGGTCTTCAAAGGCCCACGTAGACCACGAAGGCAGATGCAGCCCAAGAATTTGGACACCCCTCTTGACTTCATGTCCTTGACTTCCTGTTTTCAGATGCTGTGACTCCGGAAAGCGAGCTGGAGAACAC